TAGGACCCTCACTTAACTGGCAATTTCTGAAAAGCTTTAGGTAATGATCTATTATATTTGAGTGCCTTCATAATTTTAAAAGACTCTTAAAACCTTTAACACCAACAAGAAATATGTGGTGGAAAAAATATGCTTAATGCTATTTTTAGGCTCTGTTCAACGTACTTTATATTTACTGAATCCTTTAATCTTCACGATGCTTTGCCAAAGGTGCTATTATATGCCTACTGAGGCAGAAAAACCACATGACTGGTTGGGGTCACAATGCCATTGGAAGGGAGAGACAGGAATCTACTTCCAAACACAATCACTGTTTGATACAGTTGCCTTCTAATTTTTAATGCTTTCAGTTATGTGGACCACTGAAATGGAATTTCCATGGAGTTATTTCTTAACAAAGAACCAAACTACTCTGGCTTTCAGCTACAAAAAAACCAAATGTTTGCAACATATGAATAGACAACAAAACGTTTAACATTCCATAGCAAGAATTATTTAACTCCTGAGTTAGCTTTACTACAAAGATTAAACTGCATAACCTCCTTGCCCTAAAACCTGAGACAGACTAAAATTTCACCATGCCTCCTGTAGGCATCTGTCTTATATCACATTACAAATGTAGGAATTTTAGGAAACTATTTTATTCAGTCTAGGACATCTACACTGTAGGAGGTAGCACTGACCTGATTTCTTTTATTAAAAGATAACACATAGGGCCCTCTCTGGTGGTGCAAAGTGTTAAAGCACTGCACTACGAAGCTCTCCACAGCCACTGCAGCGCAAGTTCTATTCCTGGCCAGGGAGGTGACCCACATGGTGGTGCAGTGCTCTCCTGACCTGCCTGCTGCTCCCCTCAACAGTGAATCAGTCAGTCTGTCTGTTCTGCTCCCCACTCTGTCTCTGGTGAATCCTCTCAACCCTCTGCATCTCTGACCTGTACCTCAGTTCTTGTATGCATAAATAAATCTTAAAAAAAAAAAAACAAAAAAAACTTGTATACATATTCCAACATATACACTCTAACATTAACTTTCACGTTGCCTACATTTTATCAAATGGTGGTAAAGAATGAGTTCTGAGTAAAACTGATTTGGAATGAAATCCTGGTGCTGTCCCATGTGACTGTGGTCAAGTTTCTCAACTTCTTTAGGCACTGTAGGATTTTGAGCATAAAATAGAAATCCTTCGAAAAGATTTCTGAGAGGATGCCATGCAGAGCATAGGCAGTGCTGCTTCCCCTTCCATAGCAGCTCATCTGACCTCACTGCAGCTGTAACAGTAAAACTAATGGTTGGTATAACCACACACACACACAGAATTTAGAGTTTTCTGAGAGAAAACCCAGCGCTAATTATGAATCACTTAATCCTGAATCCCAGGTTTGAACTGAGTCTTTGTTTCAAGTGCCTCCACCTCCCAGGCTGCCATAGGATGAACTATGTAGGAAGGAGGACCAGCACTGGGTCACAAGGGCACTAAAAGAAGCATTCTCATCATTAGACCTAGTCCCTAGGTTTGGGATTGTTGTTGATGCTGGTATGTTGCAGCCTCTTGTCAGGTAGAAGTGCAAGACAGAACACTGTTGGTTCTTCTTTAGGCACGGTCCTTGAAGACTCAGCCTCAAAGAAAAGCAAGGTAGAAAAGTAGGCCAGCGGCCAAGACAGAGCTGGGGAGGGAATACCAGAAGCAAGTGAGAAATGGAATGCATGAGCCCTGTTTCCTACTGTCAGAGGAGCCAGAATATGCTTTCTGCTGGGTGATGCTTGCAGTGCTGTGCTGTGGGATGTAGCTAGAAAGGGCAAATGTGAACGTGGGGGAGGTCACGCTGAAAATTGTTTGTTGTCAAGGAAACATCAAGAACAACTTGCAAGACAATAGTACTGGTTTCAGAAACTGAGAACTAAGCTTTTTCTGTCCTTGAGTCTTCCACAACCTCCAACTGTATTGAGACTATTTAATATTTTAATATATACAGGCACTGCCAATGCAGAAGTAAATACGAGTTACATACATCAACACCACACACTATTAACAAGCAAGTGGGATAACAAGCCACATGACTTCTAACATTCAGAGTTCCCACGATGTGATCACATCTGCCAAATAACAATTTATTTAGAAAGCTAGGCAAACCAAGTAAGAAATATTACAAACATGATCAAAATACTTCTTCTACCTGACAAGAGGCTGCAACATACCAGCATCAACAGTCCCAGAGCACTGTTGAAGATGATCAGACATCTCTAATCCTAATGAGTACATAACAGTAGAAGATTAAATTTTCAGCTAACATTGCCTTTACACACAAGCTTGTTCATGACCCTTAGCAGTAAAGAGTTCTTTTATTAACTTTTAACTAAGATGTTCCTAAAAAACACTGTAAACCTAAAATCATTTTAGAGCAGAAAGAACTCCCTTCTGCCAAAAACCCTTATCTCCAAGGAGATAATAAAGCAGAAAAGATACAAGGAACAGTGTATTGACAAAAGTAGTAAGGCTAAGTGTATGCTTTGGTCTGAATAATAGCTATTTTAGAAATAATCTATTTGTTCTTTTACCATATGCTCCATGATAGGTAACTTTTAAAGTGAACAAAAAGTCTGTTAAATTAAGAAAAGGCACACACATTTTCTTGTTATCTCTTGGAAATCTAACAGCTAATCTAATTTACAGCTACTTAGTAAGCTTTTTGGAATATAAGCTAAGAAGTGGTCTTTTTTAGGGAGAGGGTAGCCAGCCTTACGAAAAGCACATCTTTGACATAGACTCTCATAAGACAAATCTGTTCTCTGTGGAGCTTGGACAAATCAGGACTCTAATGAGCTCCCAGATGTGGCCAAACAGGAATGGAACAACGATTCTCCAAACTGATTCCACTGTGAAAAAGACCTCATTTAATATACAATAATATGCTACTCGTGGAAGAGCACATTCACTTTATATACATTATGAAATTAGAAAATCTAGTAAAGGCGCTCCAAATTTCCAGGCACTGGCCTCAAATGGATTTTCAAGCTTTAAAACAGATACTTGTCATTAAGAATTTTAACTCAGGGGGAAATTCCCTAGTAACTATTCAAAACTATACAAAAAGCTTTACAATGAAAACCTTTATAGAGGCTCCAAGGCACAAATACAATATATGTGTGCAGAACAATTTTGGTTTTGTTCACAGTGGCACTTCATAGGACTCCCAAGTATACATTAAGACATTTAAACCAGCATTCATCAGGGGTGAAAAAACAATGTGAAACTTGTTTCATTTTTAGCTTTAACTTCCAGTAAGCTCAAATGTCAAATTTTACACCGAACAACAATGTGTTAACACCCCTTCAACTTTCATTGATCCTGCCTTTCTCTCCTTCCTTTTCATATTTTTGGTACTATTATTGCATATCTTTTCTTGGAATGCTGTTTTAAATTCTTTTAGGAAAGAGTCCAGCTATAAATGCCTTTCAAACACAGACAAAAAAATCAAGTAAATACTGAAAGTAAAGAGTGTATCTTTGCACAGTTGCGGCAAAGATTAATAATAATGCAGTCACATTATTCCTCACTTTATAATAGGAGTATGTCCTATTAAACTCATCTCAAGTTAAAAATATCCTGAGTCAAAAAACTAACCCACTGAACACTAGGGCTTAGTCCAACCTCCCTCAAATGTGCTGAGAATACTGACGCTCACCTACAGCTGGGCAAAATCATCTAACACAAAATCTATTTTATAACAAAGTTTAAGCAGTCCATGTAATTATTATACACTGTGCTGAAGGTGAAAACAGTCTGTTGAGTATTCGTTGTTTACCCTTGAGATGGAGTGGCTGACACAGCTGAGGCTCCCTGCTGCGACTCCCTGCTGCTACCCACATCACAAGAATCTGGCACCTTATCCCTAAAAATAAAAATTCAAAATTCGATGATCTCACCTATATGTGGAAGACAAGAAAGCAAAGCAAATCAGTGGATAAAGAAATAATAATCATAGCTCACTTACAAAAGAACTGAGGTTTTGAGATGGGAAAGGGAACAAGAGTAGAGGGGGTGTTGTGGATGGTAAGGTTTCTTTTTTAATGTTTTTGTTTAGTTAATAAAAAAAAAGTGAATACAGCGTAGGGAAAACCTCATTCAAACCTTAATCTTACTCCGGAAGTATTTTTTTAATTACATCCATAAAAAGTTCACCACAGCACTGCTTTAACAGTTAACAATTATAAACTCAAAGGAGATGATACCAAAAAACCAAAAATTTAGGTCCACTTGCTAGTGAATGTATTGTTTTATACCACCGTAAGGCCAAAAAATTGTAACTCAGACCACGGCAAGTCAGAGACTGTATTTCTGAACTACCTACAGATAATATACACCAAGATTTGATAACAGCTGGCCTGTACTCATATAAAAAGTTGACTTTCTTTTACCAAAAAGAAATGTATTCCCTAACTATAATCTTAGTTATTGCCCTTAGTTTCTATTCTAATGGGAAAAGCCCACCTCAGAGTTTCAAAGTTGTGTCTGCTTAGTTCTGTGGCTCTAGGTAAATCATTAAATCTGATTACCCTAGTTTCCACCATCATAAATTTGCAATTGCTACTTCTATCATAAAACTTATTTTGATCATGAAGATTTGTTCTTTTATAAAAGTAAAAGTGCAACATAAATACAAAATTTTACTATCATGTACATTAGAGTATTCAAGAACTTAAAGGTTTCTTTCTACTCATGGCAAAAATTTCTTGTTCCAAATTTGTAATTTCTTTGGCAACAATATTATAGAAAATCAAACATTATATAGTCAAGATACAAGCACCAAATAATGAAAGAAAGCACATTTATACATAAAATATTATTTATACCTATTTTCATTTTTTTACATTAAAATGTAAACATCCACTTTTCCATAAAAAAGTTTGTGAAAAACAAAAACAAAAAACAAAAAAACAAATCAAGCCTTAAAGATAGCTGGTGAATTTTCAAGTGTCCTTGCTAAACAGATCAAAATATTAAACATTATAACTCACTAATTCAATGTTTAAAAGAACCAAATTGCTAAGGAATGATAAAATATCAATACAATACAAAATCACAATTAACCAGAAGCTCCTACTACCTGGTTAACTATTTACAAGAAAATTTATCTACTTTTAACCATCAGTTTTGAAAAATGTTCTAAATTGAACTACTTTGCTTTCTTGCTCAGTAAGTACAAAATGTCAAACACAAAAATTTTAGTTTGATGATTTAGGAGCATGTGAAACCAGAATATACACAATTTCTGCACAGTCTTATTATAGATAGAAAATTGGAGTGAATTAGTTTCTTGTTTTAAATAAATCCCTGATGTCATAAACTTATTGTTTTCCTTTTGCCTCATTCTTTTAAGAGGCGTACACAGCAAAAAGGCTTTAATTAAGTAAGATTTTAGAGTTGTAGACATACAGACATATATTGATTCAGGTAAACAAGGTAGTTCAATGACTTTGCTCTTCTATTTCTTCTACTTAATATGTCCAGTAACATGAATGATATGTAATGGGTCCACTGTTTTCCTGGATTTCAAATTTCAATACCTATGAATTCCTTATTTTGAATATTTTTCTTTAAAAACCAAAATAAAACCACTCATGAAGATGACTTCCAAAACCAGGTGCAGTCTAGATTTTGTTAATGGAATTAAACTGTGCTTCCCCTATTATTAAAATTCACATCTGCTTAACAATCTTTATAATGCTATCAAATAGCAAGAACTTCTCCAGGAGACTAGGTGTGTAACTCCGCAAAGTCATAAAATAATGAGTTGCTAGGAGAAGTCACCTTCGGAACTTGTGGCACACAAGATGATGTTAGGTGACACACAACATAGAATTAAATAATGCTGAATCACAGTGTGAATGTCATTTCCATTACAATTTTCTGTTAATTCCACAAAGAGAGACCCGTTTTGATGATGGGTAACATTTCTCTCAATACACAAAGAGTGAGCAGAAGTCCTTGATTCTTGGCAGGCATAATATCTTACTATAATTTAATAATATATAATAACTAGTTTTCATTTTATTTATTTTGTAGTTGCCTTTTATTTATAACGAACTGACAGTGGTTTTCCACTTGGAATAGAGATTCGTTTCTCTTAAAAATATTTTAAAGGATAAATGTTAAGTTAAGTAGTAGTACGTATAGTATTCAAGTGATTGAAGTTTGGGAAACAAGGAGAACAGTCCAATGAATCATATTTTTAAGATGTGGTTTTAAACAAGTGACTAATGCGGTCTAGAAATGTCACTGTATTTTTAATACTTGTAATATTCAAGAGATGAGGTCACCACAGACTTCTATATCAGGTGATTTCCAGAGTTAAGATTCAAGCAAACTATAAAGGAAAAAAAATCAACTTCACATCACCCTGGACTTTATAAATTCTCAGAACCATGTGCAAATAACCTAATATTTGGCAACTGCTTCAAACATATATAACTATCCAACTTATTGTAGCATCTCTTTATTTGGTCTATTCTAATGCCTCGCAAAGACATTCCCCAGGTTGTAGAGCTCCTGCTTGGTCCTTAAGAGTCAATTTTTCATGTATATTGAGTGAACTCTTCAGCAAAGATTCAGAACTGTTGAAACGTTTTCCAAAGGTGTCTGACTTCTTCCATTGTTATTGCCCTGTACAAAAAAGTCTTCTCTTCCTCCTTTAAATAATAATCCCACAGCCAATATTCTTCTGAGAGGATTTTGCTTAGCAGATATTGCATGCTCACAGGCATGTCATGCTGACTTAAAACAAAAAGGACAGTGGAGAGAAAGAAATCAGAGCTTCTCGTTTGTGGTGAGTGTCTTCATCACGGTGGCAGTTAAGATATGCTCCTTCCTTTACCCTCCTGAAGCCAAGACATTATATCTGAAGAATGGTGTTCTCAGACATCATAGTCAGGAGCCTTGCCCTGGGCTTGCCTTAGCCAGATCTGTAGTGTGACAAATGCTGCCACAGTCACGTGAAAGAAAAGCTGCCAGAGGTTGCGTAGTTCATAGAGATACATGTTGCACAGACAGATTAAACCAAGAGTCAAAAAAGATTTGACATTCCGCCAGCTGGTGTAGTAGACAAGTAAATAACACTGTTCAAAATATAAAAATGGAAGATGATTAGGGCTATAGGGAAAGAAACAGACACATCTACTATAAAATTGTAACAGGACACAGAGTAAAACACAAGAGTGGAATAATGGGATTTTTCACCTACAGATAAGATAATGGAACATCTTTAAGATATTCAGCTATGAAATTTCCACAGCCTGAAAGGGAAATAGATTTCTCTTACATTTTTCATTTTTCAAAAGGAAAAGCATATTGTATTGTATTTAAAAGGGAGGATGATTCTTGCAAACAGGCTGGACAAATTCTTCAAGGTGACAAGCAACCAAGAAGCATTTTCAGCGTCTTCTGAGGTTCCACCTCTTATTCTCAGCCCAGAAAAGTAAAAATAGTTCACACAAGCTGTTCAGCAAAGTGGACTTGTATAATCTGATATGGATATTAGTGATAGCAACAATATTTAGTCATCTCACATTGAGTACAAGATCTCATTAAACATTTGAGGCAGAATTCATTTAACAAACATTTATTGAGGGTCTGCTAAAACAAAGGAACTGTTCTTTAAAGTACTTGTTCACTTATATTCTAGTGCAGAGAGAAAGATGATAAATGCTTTATAAATAATATCAAGCAGTTAAGATTTTAAAAAGTAACAAGTGTTATTTTAGAAGTGAATGAGGAAAATATCTTCCTATCCCCAAATGCTGGCATTTACCCCTTCCTGCTTTAATTTTGCCATAACATATTATAAATTGTACTTAAAAATATGCTTAATTTGTTTGTCACTTATATATTATTCCAAAACAATGTAAGCTTTAATAGGGGAGAGATTTTGCACTGTTTTGTTAATATTTTAGCCTCCGGTGCCCAGAATAATAAAAGCTCAATAAAAAATTTTAAATAAATGAACTGTTATCTAGATGATATCTAAAATTCACAATCTGATAAGTCTAAAATTCACATATAATCTCAAAACCTTAAGAAAAAAAAGCACAGGTTTCACTGTGAAAATATGAAATAAATAAATGAACTGTTCATTATTCTACTATAAAATTGTCACAGGACACAGAGTAAAACATGAATGTGGAATAAAGATAATACAATGGAACATCCAGATTTCAAAACAGGAAGGACATTAGCGTGTTTACAACACAGAAAGACTACAGAAAGAATGTAGAATTGTTGAGTTAAATCTCTTTAGCTCTTACACAAATTAGGACTGCATTACTTAAAAAGATTGCTATTCAAGCAAAGTAAGATGGAAACATTTATTTAGTCTGAGGGACTTGGACTGTGCAAAACAGGCTGAAAGAAAATCTTTGTGTAAAGTACCCTGTAAGACTGCTGGTAGGAATATAAACTGGTCTAGAGTGACTAGACCATAGTGATGGAAAGCCGTGTATAGGTTCCTTAAAACACTAAAAATGAATCAATCATATGACCCAGTTATTCCACTCTTAGAAATCTATCCAAAAGATAGATTTCAAAAAACACTAATTTGAAAGGAAAACTGCATTCCTATGTTTACTGCAATACTATTTACAATAGCCAAGATATAGAAACATCCTACATGCCCCAAAACAGATAAATGGATCAAGAACCATGTGGTATAGGTACACATTGGAATACTACTCAGCAGTCAAAAAGACAAACTCATGCCATCTGCGGTAGCATGATGGAGCTAAGTGGAAAAAGTCAGGAGTAGAGAGATAAATACTGGATGGCTTCACTTATATGTAGAATTTAGAGAAACCAAATAAAAGATCAGAAAAAAAAGACAAAATTTGCAAGCTGAGCATAGATTTGAGACATATAGCAAGGGGAAGAGAAGAATAGGGTCAGAATAGGTAGGAAAGATCACAAAGGACTGTGCTATCTTGGTGGGAGAATTATAGGGATGACACCTGATGGGAGAAACCAAACAAATGATGTATGAAAATAAACATAAGAAAGTAAAAATCTTTATCTCTGAAATAATTTTAGACTTAAAAAGTTGTAAAAATCATGAGAGTTCTGTGTACCTTAGGCCCTGTTGTCCCTAATGTCAAGCTCTTATATAACCATAGTATATTCATCAAACCAGAAAATTAAAATTGATGGAATTCTATTAAGTAGCCTACAAACTTCACATGAAATAACATTTGAATTTTGGTCTGTCTCACTAAGGCCTTTTTCCTAGTTCAGAATGCAATCCAGGATTCCATATTGCACATAGCTCCCCAAGTCTTTTTCTTTGTAAATGTGACAGTCTTAAAGAGTACTGATTATAGTAATACAAGATAAATTAAAAATATTTCAAGGAAAAGGAAATCGGGGACAGAGATAAATATTACATAATGTTAACTGGTTTGATTCACCAAAAAGACACATCAATCCTAAATGTATATGAGCCAAATAATAAAGCTATATATATGTAAAGCAAAACTGATAAAACTGAAATGAGAAATAACAAACTAACAATAAGTTAAAAACTTCAATCTGGGGCCCTCCCTGGTGGCACAGTGGTTAAAGCCAGCACTGAGAAGCTAAAGCCATTTCAGCATGAGTTCGATCCCCGCCCCGGAAGTGATCCACATGATATGGCAGACCTCTCCTGTCTCACCCACTGCTCCCCTCAGCAGTGTATTTCAGTCAATTTGCCTGTTCTACTCTCCACTCTGTCTCTGGTGAATCCTCTCACTGCCCCTGCACCTCAGGCCTATACCCCAGTTCTGTACGCATAAATAAACACATAAATATATCTCAAAAAAAAAAAAAAACAAAAACACTTCAATCCTTTTCTCTCAACAATTGATAGAACTAGACTGAAAACCAGCAATGATATAGAAAAACTGAACAATACCATCAACCAACAGGACCTAATTGACATCTGGAGAACACTCACTCAACAACAGCAAAATACATTTCCATTCAAATGCCCCAAGTAACATATAGCATGACAGACAATATTCAGGGCCACAAAACAGATATCAACAAATATAAAGGAACTGAATCCATAGAGAATATTTCCAAAAGTAGAAATTTAGAATCAAATAGAAATCAACAATGAAAACCAGAAAATCTCTAAGTACCTGGCAACTAAAAACCACAGTTCTAAATAATTCATACATCAGAGGGAGCCGGCAGGGGGGTGGGGGGAGGTACGCTGGATTAAATGAAAAAGAAAATATGACACATCAAAATTTATAGAATGAAGCTAATAGTGCTAAGAAAGACATTTACAACACTGTGTGTGTGTGTACATATATTATAAAAGAAAAGCTCCTCCAAATTATCATCTAAGTTTCCTTTCAAGACTCTAGAGTCAAGTAAACTCAGGACAAACATGAGAAAGGAAATAAGAAAAATAGCAGAAATCAATTGAATAAAAAAAGTATAAAGAATAAAAAAGAATTTAAAAATCTAATGAAATAAAGAGCAGGTTCTATGAAAAAGTCAATGAAATTGACAAGTAAGTCTGACCAAGAAGAGAGAGTAGGTACAAAGGTCCAATATAAAGAATGAAACAAGAATTATTACTACAGATCCTAGATATTAAAAGGATATAGAAATACTACACTTGAATTTGATAACAACCAAAAAGGACAAAACACCTGAATTTGATAACAACAAAAAAGGACAAAACACAAACCACCATAGTCTAACCATTATGAAACATTATTTGAATAATCATGATCTATCTTAACTATTAAGTTTATGACACCATATAGCTACAGTAATCTAAACTATATGGTACTGCTAGAGGAATACACACATAGATGAATGGAACAAGATATAAAACACAACAAACTAGAGCCACACACTGAAAATGGATCATGAACTTAACTTATAGTTAAAAATAATTTTTTTTCCCTGAGAATCATAGGAGAGAATCTTCAAGACCTAAGGGTAAGCAGAATTTGTACACTTGATACTATAAGCGCGATTCACAAAAAAATTTGATCAGTTGAACTTTATAAGAATTTAAAACTTTTGCTCGGGGGCAATAAAAAGTTTGTTGCGGATGAAAGACAAACTAAGACTGGGAAACCTATTTGCAAACTATGTACCTGACACAAGACTAAAGTCATGCATCACATAACGAGATTTGGTCAACAATGGATTGCACATATGACACTGTTCCCCATGGGTGCACAGTATGCTATTCCATCTAGATTTGAGTAAGTACAATGAAAAAATTACCCAAGGATAGATTTCTCAGAAACACTGTTAAGAGACACAAAATGCAATATGTAGAATAAAGAAACCTCAAATTTTTACAAAAAAGACCAATAACCCCTTGGAAAATAGGCAAAAGACATAACAGACACAAATTTATATTGTACACTAATAGATGATAAGTTAGCACATGAGTAACATTCAATATAGCCACTAGGGAAATGCAAATTAAAATGACAATGAGGAAATCGCTACACACAATAGCTAACATAAAAAATAGTGACAATGCCACACACTATGAAGAATGCAAAGAAATTGGTTCACTGATACTACTGGGAATATAAAATGGTACACTAGTCTGGAAAAGTTTGTCTCTTAATAAGCTTGCAACTACAAAATGACCTAGCAACTGGACCTCTGGACAGTTACCTCAGAGAAATGAAGAAACTTACAATGACACAAAAAACCTATACATGAATATTTATAGCAGCTGTATAATAGTTTAAAAACCTGAAAACTCAGATGTTCTTCGACTAGGTCAATGATTAACAAACTGTGGTATATCCATACTATGAAGTATTATTCAGTAATAAATAAGACCGTTTGTTATATGCAATCTCCAGAGAATTGTGCTGAGTTTAAAAAAAAAAAAAAGATGGCCCTCCCTGGTGGTGCAGCGGGTTAAAGCACAGCACTAAGAAGATAAAGACACTTCATCATGAGTTCGATCCCCACCTGCCCTGGAGGTGACCACATGGCATGACAGACCTCTCCTGACCCGCCTGCTGCTCCCCTCAGCAGTGTGCCTCCTCAATCTGCTTGTTCTGCTCCCCACTGTGTCTCTGGTGAATCCTCTCACCACCCCTGCACATCTCTGGCCTGTACCCCAGTTCTGTATGCACAAATCCTTTAAAAATGATAATGACAAACGGTTATGTATACTATATGTTACCGTTTCTATGTACTCAAAATAAGAAAATTTTATTAACTGAGAAGATATTTGTGGTGGCTACTGATTAAGGAAGATTTGAGACAGGAGGAAAGTGGATAAAAGAGCAGCACAGAGGATATCTTTGTGATGGCAAGAATGCGCTATATTTTGATTATATCAACATCAATATCCTGCTTGAGATCTGTCTGGTTTTGCAAGAAACCAGAGGTTATACAGAGTCTCTTACAATTATATGTGCTCCTATAATTATCCCAAAACAAAAAATTCTAACAAGAAATAAACTTACATGCTGTAACATATTTGTGTATACTTAGATTGTAAGTGTACACACTACATGTACACAGATTGAGACAAAAAGTGCTGCAAATATTAATAATCAATGACGCTAGATATACGAGTCTAAACTTTCCTGCAAGCTTTAAACTTTTCAAAATAAAACATTCATAGAAAAGAAATAGCTTCTAGTTTTTTCAGCAATCCTTTGACTATTTGAAATTTTTCATGTAAGCATTACTCCTATCTGGCTGAGCTCTATGTGTTCACAAATACACAGTCTGGAAAAAAAAAAAAGGCAACAAACCATGTAAAGATCTAATCAATAGGAGGTTAAAAAATAGCCTGACACTCAATAAGCTAACTTGTAAAGAAAAAAAAAATCCTGATAATTGGAAAAAGAGATTAAATGGTAAAAAGTAAACACTTAAGTTTTACTGTAAAAAAGAAAACATTATCACTCTGCTCACCATGCTTAGAAAGTATGCAGTTTCATGCCCTGCTTTTTTGAATTCAAAGAAGCATTAATTTGTTTAGTCTCTTAGTAAAAGAATACCTCAGTGATAGTGCTCCACCAGGAGGCAACTCTTAGTATTACAGTCAGCTGTTCTGAGAAAGAACAGAAGTATGCCTATCTACAGGTAAGAGCACAGACCTGAATTTAAATCATTGACTGGTGCTAAGAATTGCCCAAGCCTCCGCATTAAAAAAGAGAGTGAGAAAGAAGGAATGATAATGGAATCAGTGTGGTGACACAAGTTGTGCAACCTCTATCGACTGACATACTCTGGATAGAGACGGAAGTGCTCTGAAAAATCAGACTTTCCACACTAAGTTATATGATTATTTTATATAATCATAATATCAAAATATTCTGAGCAACCTTCAGTTTACAATTGGGTTGCCTTAGCCTCATAAGGTGCTACCTGGCCCAGGCAAGCAAGCACTGCACCAGGTGAGAAATTCCTCTTGAAGTCAAAAGTGATTTAACTGGCCGATTAATAAAAGCAATTGGCTGTTATTGCAAAGTCTCTTTTACTGCCCTGATGGAGGAAAACCCAAATCTCATCACTCTACTATCACATAGCCTTCTATTCAGTTTCTAAATAACCACTCAAACTTTCTACTATCTAGTCTTTAGATAAAGAAATTGACACAACTCTCCTATTCAGAGCTAATTAAGTTTTCTTCCATCTAGACTTCGAGGAAATTCACTTGAACTTTTTAACAAATTTTTCAAAGAATGTTACTGTAATTTGATTTACAAGAAATCTCCTCTTCCTGCCCTCACTTTACTTTACCCCCTAAGATGTCTCAATGAGAATGAAAGCCATTAAGTAGTAGATAAGGTTTAAGGGACTTTATTTTGGTTAATCTTCACTGTGGTAAATATAGTAATATTAGTCTTAAATTTTGTGAATCTATGTACCTGTTTTAACCTTGATAGATTGATTTTAAAAATGTTATAATCTCAACTAAAGGTCAAAATGACCCCAGACTATTCTTAGAAAAAAAGTGATCATGAGCTCAGCCCAATTCATATGCTAATGTCATCACACTGCTTGCTTGAAATGTGTAAAATAAACCTCTGCTGAAGGCAGAGCAAGAAGACTTTCACCCAACTCTGTCTTCTCTGTTTTCTTCACTCCCGCTCCCTGTTGCCCCCCAATTTTTGGACTATCTGCTCGCAGAGTAGTTCCCACCTTAGGATCCTGCCTGTGTCTGCCTTTCAACAGCCTGAAATCGTGGCAGGTCCCCAACAGTGTGGGACTTGCTGTGAGGAATTTAACGATACAAAGAATGTAACACAATGTAAGAGGTCAATATATTTTGCTATTATTAATATTTAAAATTATTTCATTAAAGCAAAAAATCCCTACGTGTATTTTATAAGAGTAATTACTAATGAAATTACTATAATGTTAAAGCTTTGTTCTTTTCATGCTATAGTGAAAAGAACATGATATTTAAAATCATTAACATTCAAAATTAAGTCCTGACTATGACTTACTGGCTATAATCTCAGGATAGTACTGAAACTACCTCAGAGTTCTTTTTTTTTAAATACAATGCTACATAGCAATCAAAAAAAGAAAAACTCACACCATTTGCAATAACATTGATGGACATGCTGTAATATGGATGGAGCTAGAAAGGATAACTCTAAGTGAAATAACTCAGAAGGAGAAAAATAAGTACCAGATGGTGTCACTAATATGTGGAATATAAAGTAAATTAATAAGTAATGGCAAGATGAAAAAATAACCCTTGATAGCTGACTACAGAACTGAAACACCAAGGAGAGAGAAGGGTAGGAGAGGGGGGAAAAAAGAGGGAAGGGAATACAATGGTCTACAGTGTGGAATATGGTTGAGTTGGTGGTAGGTGTACTATGATGGTAGTACCTGATAGTGGTACCCCAATATTACCTCACTTAAAAATACATAAATAAAAAATAAAAGTGAAAAAATATCCCAGGTGACAGAATTATAAAATAGAAAAACAATGCACCCCTATGTTTACTGCAAAACTACTTACAATAGGTAAATTCTGGAAACAAAACAAATGCCCAAAACTAGACGACTGGATCAAGAAGATGTGTGTATATCTATCTACCTACACACGCACGCACACACACACACACACACACACACGAATACTACTCAGCAATCAAAAAAGATAAACTCATGCCATTTGTAGAAACATGAATGGAGCTGAAAGGGATTATGCTCAGTAAATAAGTCAGAAGGAAAAAGAAAAATATCAAATGGCTTCACTTATAGGAGGAATTTAAGAACCAAATAAGACAGGAGAAAAAAAAAGTGCATAGTTATTACAATACAACACACAACACAACACAACAAAAACAAGCAGACAATTATAAACCAGAGCTATCCTACAGGGGAGTGGGACAGAGAGGGATCAGAAGGAGGAAATGTGGGGGACTATGGTGATTACCAGTAGGGGAGGGGAGAACTAAACATTGTTATAAAATGAACACTAATGTAAATAGATATATAAATTTTAAAAATATAATAGAAAATATACACATGAATACTTCATAAAATTAAAGCACTTATAACAAATACAAATTTTCACATTTCCCACATGAAATATAATTCATCATAGTTAAATATGTCAAGAGAAATTCTAAAATATGATTAAGAAAAATTAGATTTAAAAAAAGTGGTTACAAACTAAATTTTCTTTTAACATAAAAGTCAAATGTATATATCTGAAATATTTCCCTAAAGATTCTACTAAATTCTAGGTAGATTTTTATTTGCAGTACTAAGTGTAGTAGTTATTCTATGCAAGTCAGAGAATGTGTCTCATAAAAGCTTGAACAAAAGGTCTTGCTTGCGCTAACATTTTTGCACAGACATTTTGAGTTTTGGTAAATGGCATGGTCCCTATAGATTTCTTCTCCTCTGAGAAATTCAAGTACCTATCTCCAACTCACTCAGATGCAAAACCTTCTCCTCCTCAAATTTCTCTCTCTCTTTTTTTTTTAATATCCAAAAGGGCAGGTTTATTATAAAAGGGAAGTAAGGGTAGGAATAATTGCACAGACATAAGTGGATAGAAAGACCTGCCTCCAAGACAGGTTTGCTGAAGAGAGGTGGCATACTTGCAGACAGGTGGCCTTTGGAGAAGTGCCTCTGCCACTTTGCCAAGGGAGAAGGTCAGTGAAGAAAGGTACCAGCATGGTCACAGGTCACAGGTAGACAGGAGGTTGCTGCTCCTGCTCTACATGAGGAAAAGGTTGGTGAAGAGAAGCATCTGCATAGGCAGACTGCAAATATAAATCTACCTAGAACTTAGTAGAAATCTTTAGGGAAATATTTCAGATATATACATTTGACTTTTATGTTAAGATAAAATAGAAAATTTAGTTTGTAAACACTTTTAAATTTAATTTTTCTTAATCATATTATTTTAATTTTAAGGACTGCTGCCTTTCTTAAATTTCATATGTATTCTGCCTTCAAGTCCTACTGTTCTTTGTAAACTTCCTTTTTTCCCCCATTCCTACTGTTATTACCATCACCAGGTTCCATAACTTTCTACCTCAAGTAACAGAATTAACCTCCAAATAATTTCTTTGCTTGTGGTACTTACTCTGACTATCCATCTTACTCACTGCTGATATATTAAATGTCTATGATTTTGCTTTTGTAGTTCACTATTCAAAGACTTTCCCAAAAGCACAAAATCCTCATCCTGAAGCATTATCAAAGCCTGAATACTGAATAAACAGTCATCAGAACATTTACTGCTACAGGCAGATGACACTACTGTTGAAGGCTGGTATGGGAGAATGTTAATATTAAGTCCACTAGAAATGGCAATACCAATCTTAAGCTAACAAAGGCTCAAAATAAGAGAGGCAAAGAAAAACTAGAGAGACAAAGAAATCATACGTCATTTTCATTTATTTAAAGGCATGAGCAATTATTAAAATCGATACTGAGACAAATAAAAAGTGTTTCCCAAAAAGGGAGAAAACCTACCTGGTAAAGGCAGGCTGCTGTGCCAAGGAAAAATGCAATGATGTAATTAAAATCCTCACCATCACTCTGTAAAAACAAGATAAAAAATAACTGTTGTTCCTGGTAGAAGCTTACTTCCAAAAAACAATGCAGTAGAATAGAGTATGATGTTTATGCACAAAATGGCTTATTTTTTCATAAAATGGTATATAAAAATTCTCAAGCCCTAAAATGGAAATCTAAAATATAGCATAAGAACCATTAAGTGTGAAGTAGAGGAAGACTACCAGAATTCCTCTGTGCCTTTATCTTCCCATCAATACATTTTACCCAAAAGAAGGGGGAAGATGAAGGGAAAAGGTTTCCACGTGATCTGGATATTCTCTCTTCTCCACTGAAGAACCACATAAAATTGCAACATACCCCTGAGCTCTAACTCAAGTTAACTACTTAACTCAAATATTGACAAGCTTTAGTATCTAGTAAGCACATTACTGAATTGTTTAATAAAGTTATTTGACATTTTAGAAACAAATAAACCTGAAAAGCTGTTGTCCACTAGGGTGTGCTAAATCCCAATGAGAAAAGCTAGTCATGAAAACTATGCTAGAAAAAAAAGTCAACCAGAGGAAAAACAGATCTGCCCAGAATATTTCTTTTAAAGGAAAACTAATAAAGGACACATACAACAACTTAAATATCTACATCACTTCTTTCAACTTTTTTTTTATGAAGTAGAACATAAACCTTCTAGGCAGGAGCATTAAATTTGGCTCTCATTAAAATATATATATATATATATATATATATATATATATATATATATAATGATATCTTCCACAAGACATGGGAGTATCTTGCATGACCATATTTTCATGAAATAATAGAAAGACAAAAAACCTCTTCTACTTGTTTTTGGAGAATGACTTAGCTTAGCAAGATGATCTTAAAATAGCAACCATTAATCTGTCTGGGATGCTTAGGCCAATTCTACCCCAGAGGCAGGGATGGTCAATATGGAAACTTTATACTTTAATAATTCTAAGACTTTAAATAAAATATGTTTGGCTTTTTTTCTTTTAGCCTTTATTTTTTCGTCTTTACTTTTTAAGTTGGTGTTATTTCTGATTATGAAAATTCATCTCCATCTAAGACTTTAAAATTAGTTCTGCTTATTTTTTTTTCTTAGTCCTTACTTTCTGAATATTTTTTTCTGGTTATAAAAGCTCATTTTCATAGTGGACAATTTGAAAAAGTTTGTTACAAAGAAGAAATTTATGTAATGCATAATATCACAACTCTGGCATATTGGCTGCTACTTCATATATATTTTTTTAATCTTTACAAAAATATAAGTAAATTTAAAAAATTAAATCATTCTCTATATATTACTTTTCAGTATTGTATACTGCATCGTAAGTACTTCATTAATACACTAAATATTCCTTAACTATACAGTTTCGTGGTTATATAATCTCTTATTGGGGGAATACACCATAGTTTTTATCCTGTTGTAACAGTGCAATCCTGATAGCAAAGGAGGTTCCGTGGTCCCTCCCCAACCTGAGGAAGGGTGGAACTGAGCAGCAAGGGGAAGCTAAAACAGGACTTGAGAGAAGACCTGGAGGGGAATGTGGAGCAGAAAGACATACAAAGAAGAAGCTGTGCTGCTTCTCAGCCTTGGACTTATACCAGGGACATGAAAGGAGACACTTTAAAGTGATGTGGATGAGAGACCCGGGGAAAGCTGACAATGGCAGCCTTTTCCTTGACTTGTGTTTTGATTTTGTTCTTTTCCTTCCAGAATTGCTGGCCCCTTCTGCCCCTTTCCTATGGTGCCCCACCAGAAAGTGTCTTAAATCTACACAAGGTTTTGAGGCTCACTGAGCCTGCTTTGGGTAAACCCAGTTTGGCAGGGCATTTACCCACAAGGAATGGGCAATTTTGGGTATTTAATTGGAAACAATTTTCTTCCCTCTATTGCACATTAATTCTATTAACATTCTTTTCTATTGACAGTCTTATGTATTTGAATACACCTTGTCTTTATGTAGCGGATGGCAGAACCCATTAAGAGCAGGCAGACTGGGTCCTAGGGTACCCCTCAGACTGCTGCTAACACTACAATTGATATTATTTTCCTGCAATTTTTTTAAAAGATTTTTTTATTTATTCATACAGAATTGGGGTACATGTCAGAGATGCAGAGGGTGAGAGGATTCACCAGGGACAGAATGGGGAGCAGAATAGGCAGATCAATGAAGTACACTGCTGAGGGGAGCAGCGGGCAGGTCAGGAGAGGTCTGCCTCGCCCTGTGGATCACCTCCGGGGCAGGCGGGGAATCAAACTCATGCGGAAGTGGCTTAAGCTTCTTAGTGCAGTGCTTTAACCCACTGAGCCATCAGGGAGGGCCCTCTGCAATTTTTATAATATAACTTTGTAACTCTTTTAATTGCCTTTGGAATGCTTTAAAGCATATTTCTGGAGCCAGATCTGGGTTCAAATCTTTACTCATTCGCTATATGCTCACAGACTAACTTCAATTTCCTTTTTAGAAAAATAAATGTTGTAAAGGTTAAACAACGAAAATATATAGAACAGAAACTGATATAGAGTAAGTACATAAAATGCATTCACTAATTCTCCCTAAGGTTACTGTCTACACCATTTATGGGATAATTAAATTATCTTTCTGTAATGTGTAAGCCTCTGGTGCACTGGCCTTATATTCTCAGTTAGACCCTAACTTTTCTTCAAGGCAGAAAATAAATCTGACCACTTGCATAAAACTGTACACATAATAGGAATTTGCAACAAATGCACAATGAGTTGAAATGAGCACTGAAAAATATTTATTTCTACTTGTTGAAGACTATAAATATAATTTTCTAGTCAATAAATATTCGTTAAACATTATGGTACTGAGTTACAAGAAAACAATCAAGTTCATGCCAACTGAAGGAAATCTCAATTACAAAAGCAAATACACAATTCCCACCCAAAAAGATAAATGATAAAATAGGTTATGTGTACATGGTACTAAACGACCTATGGAGACACATCTAATTCTGCCTGGAGACAAAAAAGGTCAGGGAATGTTTGTCAGGGTTTTAAAGGACTGACTATTGTAAAAGGTAGGTAAGGTAGAGGCACTCTCAAAGAGGGAAAGGCCAGGAAGACTCCAAAACTTCTTGTTTAGGTAACATTAGAATGATAACAGTCACTAAGATAAATATATAGAAAGAAAAGTAGATTTGAGAGCAGAAAAAAAAAACTGAGTTCATTTTAAACATGCTTTTTTGGAATTGTTAGTGGAATACTGCACAATTATATTCAGGAAATATTTAAGTCTGAAAAGAGTATGCCTAGAGAACTAATTTAGTAGTCATCAATTTAAATAGTAGTTGAATGAAAGTACAAGTCTTAAATCTTGATTGGCAACAGCAAAGGACAATATAAAGGATATTTGGAGTCAACTGTGGAAATCTGAATATATAGTTTATATTAAATGATACTGTGTTGACGACATACACTTCAGTGATATCTTTAAAGATAGAGCACCCAATGCCACAATAGAGAAGGCAAGGATAAATAGATGGGATTACATCAAGTTAAAGAGCTTCTGTACAGCAAAAGAGACATTACAAAAAACAGCCCACTAATTGGGAAAAAAATTTTCTCACACAAAACTAGTGATAAAGGATTGATCACAAAAATTTATGGAGAACTGATGAAACTCAACAAAAATAAATAATCCCATTAAAAAATGGACAGAAGAGCTAAAAAGACACTTCTCTAAAGAGGAAATGCAGATGGCCAAAGCATATGAAAAAATGTTCAACATCATTCGTAATAAGGGAGATGCAAATTAAAACCACAATAAGATACCCCCTCACCCAAGTGAGAATGGCACATCTTCAAACAACGAGCAACAACAAATGTTGGTGAGGATGTGGAGAAAAAGGAACTCTCCTGCACTGCTGGTGGGAATGCAAACTAGTACGACCACTATGGAAAACTGTTTGGAGGTTCCTCAAACTGCAAACATGGAGCTTCCCTACGACCCAGCAATCCCACTCCTAGGCATCTACCCAAAAGACACAAAAACACTGATTGAAAAAGATACCTGCACCCCCATGTTTATTGCTGCTTTATTTACAATTGGAAAAACATGGAAGCAGCCCAAATGCCCAAAAGTAGATGAATGGATTAAAAGATGTGGTACATATACACAATGGAATATTACTCAGCAACCAAAAAAAAAGGAAACACATGTCTTTTGCAGCAACTTGGATGGAGCTGGAAAAGATCATGCTTAGTGAGATAAGCCAGAAAGAAAAACAAAAATACTGGATGGTTTTGCTCATAGCAGGAGTATAATGGACCAGGAGAGAAAATAATAAGAATAATGAACGCCATATACCAGAGACATTTTGTGGAGTGGGGAATGGGATAAAAAACAGGGGTTGGCGGGAGGGAAGTGCATGGGACAATGGTGATGGTGCATGGGTGACTTGGTGATGGGAAACCCACAGGGATTACAATTGAGATTAAAAAAAAGTACAAAATGATGTAAAAATAAACTATTATAATATATAAATAAATAAATAATTGAAAAAAAAAGTTGAACCTCACTTGTATTCAGGAAAATGCAAATAAAAACCACAACGAGATGCCATCTCACACAGTGAGAGTGGCACATATTAAAACAACTAGCAACAACAAGTGTTGGTGAGGATGTGGAGAAAAAGGAACTCTCCTACACTGCTGGTGGGAATGCAAACTAGTACAACCACTATGGAAAGTTGTTTGGAGGTTTCCCAAATGCTAAACATGGAGCTTCCATAAGACCCAGCAATCCCTCTCCTAGGTATCTACCCAAAGGGCACAAAAAACATCCATACAAAAGGACACCTGCACCCCCATGTTTATTGCTGCACTATTTACAATAGGGAAGACGTGGAATCAACCCAAGTGCTCAAAAATAGATGACTGGATTAAAAAGATGTGGTACTTATAAACAATGGGATATTACTCAACAATCAAAAAGAAAAACTCATGCCTTTTGCAGCAACATGGATGGATC